TCATTCCTAGTTCAGATTGGCCAGCTGCCGAGTTGAAAATAAACAGTGACTTGACTAACCTCTCTAACAGATTGCAAGAGCATTCATTAATATTAAATCCAAATAAATCAACTGCTGTGATCCTTGGTAAAGACCGTTCTTATGTGATTGAGAATTTGAACATAACCATAAATAATATTAGATTAAAATACTGTGATAAAGTTAAAAACTTAGGCTTAACAATGGATTATAATCTGAGGTTTCGTGAGCACATACCAAACTGTATCAAAAAATCTTATCTGGCTCTAAAATTATTGTATCCTCACCGAATTTTTCTCAATTTAGACATCAAAAGAATTCTTTGCGAAACCTTGGTTTTATCACAGTTTTCGTACTGTGTTCCAATTTATTCTGCATGTTTAGATTGTGATACATTCATGCGTATACAGAGAACACAGAACTCATGCATACGTTTTATATATGGTATAAGAAAATTTGAAAGAGTTAGTCATAAGCTGAAAGAACTCCGGTGGCTAAATATGAAGGCTCGTTTTGAGATATTCACAATATGCTTTTATCATAAAATTTTAACTCTCAGGCAGCCTCATTACCTCTACGAGAAAATAACATTCAGAAAAGACATCCATTCCGTAAATATTCGTTCGAAACAAAACCTTACTGCTCCATTCCACAAAACTAAATTTTATGAAAGATCATTTATGTATAATATATAAATATAAGCTATACAATCCTATCCCCCAGTATCTCAAATCATATGAAATTCACAAGTTCAAAGCGGTTTTGCGTGATTCTTACCTTGAATGTATAAAGTACAATTATTCTGACTGCTGCTTCGGAATTTCAATTTTATTTTGTTTGCATTCCATTATTTTATTTATATTTTTTTTTTTCATATGATGCATAATGTACGTATAAGTATTCATATATCATTCTAGACTTTTAAATTTACCACCACGTTTTCTCTTTGCTCTTTTTTTTTCAAACTTATTGGCGTTAACACAACAGGGCATTCTATGAATTACACAAGTATCAAAGTTCGTGATAAAGAAAAACACATTTCCAAACGTTTATTCCTGGAAATGTCCCACATTTTAATGAATAACAACTGTATCAACAAAAAGACAGATATTAAACAACTGAGTATCATTTACTCATATTTGCTAAACTGCGAAAAATTGGAGAACTTACATATCTCCCCAAATTTCGACTCTTCACAACCATAAATATAATCTGTGTTTTGGCCGATTCCACCAACAAATTTCATTCCACTCAAAATCTAATAATTCTCTTCTCACGATTTATTGATAATTGTTAATTTAAATTCCCATTAATTAAAATATAGTTTATTCAACTGCCTCTGGTCGGTTTAACAATTTCTTACATAACATTCTGAAAATCACATCATCTGAAGTGATTTGGCAACGTTTGGCACACGCCCACAATTCGTTCCATCTTTCAACACAGACATTGACAACCTTCGGCCTTCTGTCAAAGGTTCATCTCACACATTATTCCATGACCACCATTTTGTGCAATCATCAAGTGGCTTCACGATGTAATGCTCTAATGTTTTCTAAATAATTTTTAATCTGTTTTTAACTTGTCTTGTCATATTTTATATAATTTTGATCATTGTACCATCTATCCAGCTCTCACCATGTTACTGGACGTTTCCCTCATCCTATATGTAAACAACAATTAGCAACATCTTCACATACTACTGTAAGTTAAGTCAATTTAAATTCATTTTACACTTTTGTTGCTACTGTTATCATTGTAATTGCAGCTCCTAATGATGATGGCAAAGTCCACTGAAAGCTAGAGAGAATTAAAAAAAGTATAAAGAGTCCTCTTTGCTTAAATTTTGTCGAAGTACCCAACAAAAGGCGGAAGCTTTAATTTTTCACCTATATATATATATATATATATATTATTCTAGACTTTCTTTTTTTTTAAATTTATTGCCACATTTCTCACTTTTCTATCTTATTTTTAAAAAACTTACATGCTGTTCATATTGATGTTTGTACATGCTTGATGGGTGTATTTACTGGCATAATGTTTCTTACAATTTCAAAGAATGAGTGGAAGAGCACCAGATAGTGAACTCCCCCTTGTGGTTTTCAGACAGTGGACATTTGTTTTATTTTTTTTTATTTTCCTTTTTTTGGTTAATACTCATGTTTCTCTTTCTGATTTTTTTTTTCGAGAACTGTTTGGAAATAAAGGCATTTATTATTTTAAAAAAAAATCGGATTTTCAATATTTTTGTGCAAAAACGACTGACAGAATGTTAGTCTGCGAGGATAGTCTTCTGGTAACAAGGCCTGCACTCGTTGTACATGGTAGGGATAAAGCAAATTTTCCCGTAGGATTCTATGGACTATGCGATAGTCCTACGCGGCTGCCTAATTCCCGAGTGCTGATATCTTCATTGATTTCCACGATATTTAAAATTCGTTCCTCCTGCTCTACAGTAACCTGTCTTTCACGAGTGCAAATATTAGTGGGCTGAACACTTCCTGTATTTCGAAGTCTCTGGTACACTTGCACAAATTTCCTACTGTCTGGGGCGAAATCTGTTGCGATAAATTTGAGCTGCAAGATTTGAATTCTGACGAGCTTCACCGGAAACTAACAACATGTCGGCGAACTCTTATTCGAGAACATTGTAAAACAAGACAATTGACGTACGCGAACAAAAACAAAACAACATACTAACCACTGTTACCGTTTGCAATCGATTGCCGGTTCGATAAGAGTGATGAAAGACCGACGCGCTGTTGTCATGTGTGTTTTAAATATTCAATTTAACGAAACTTACTTATTGACTACAAACTTTGGCTTAGCTTAGAAAAACTTAATGCGATTTATTTATTAATTAGCCAATTTAAAAACGTTTTAGATTAGATTATAGAAATTAGTAAGATTGTGGTGATTTTGGTCGACTTAAAGTTGTAAACTATAAAGCCATTTAGGCAAAAATCTATTGCCTTTTGGACCATGGGTCATATGAACTTTTTTACTTATTTTAATCCTTCCTATTAATGACTACTATAACGTTTACACCCTGTATAACAGTCGTTGAAAAGCTAGGAAGTTTGCTTAGACCTCACTAACTGACCTACTTATCTGAAAAAAAATGGTTAGATTTACAATTCTCATGGAATTCCCTCCTCTATATGAATCAAAAAATGGGAGACAATTTATGGCAGCTTCAGGGTCCCTGCTTTATCAAAATTATACTGTTATAAATAATTGCGAGTAATAGCTAGTTTTACACGAATTTCAGCTTACTATAATAGCAGTGTGAGGCAATAACAATCGGCGTATTATGGCAAATTAAAAGGCGGTACATATTAAGCACTTTTAATCTCGCATAGTGGAAAAAATAGATAAACATCGCGACTCGCCAATTCACTGTGCACAGATTGCGGCTAATTCGCTACACAGTGGAGCACGGTTGTTTATGCAGTGCTTTTATTCAAGGTCCCATCCCAATTTTTTAAATGAAATGGCGGGTCACAGTACCGCATCATTTTGAAGCTCATTATGAGTAATTTATAATCCTGAAATATATGTCTGCCAGTTACTAATTTTTTATGTGGCGTCTAATAAAGAACAAAGGTTATAGAGTTTAATATAAAGGGTGTCTCATGAAAATGCAACTGATTAAAGTAGCATTTTTTAAATGGAACACCCTGTATACTTTTAGCCAAGATGTCGCTTTTTTCTGATTCCAAATATATATGATTATTCATACTTATTTTCACTAAACTAAAATTTTGCATCTAGCATCATATAAAATCGGATACATAAGATTGACACAAACTATTTTTTTTTTTGCTAAAATAATGAAAATATGTATAACAAACCATAGAATCAGAAAACGAGTGACTATCATTTACACTAAAAATACTCCATTTAAAAAATACAACCCTTCACGTGGTTATAAAAAATGGATTTACTTCAAAGAATCGATCAGGCCGCAAATGAAATAAGAAGAAAAAGTTTTTCCACTTTTCGGGCTACGCAATCATTAGCAAGACTATATCCAACAAAATGGGAATTTATTTGAACACTTATTGTAAAGCTAGTTTTAAGTATATCCAACTGTATGTCTTATGTTTTTGTCTAAATGTTAGTTAACTATGTTGCAATAGAAATATGTATTTATGTAATATTTACCAATTATTAAATTAGTTTTTTCGTTGCCATCGCTAATTATTCAACAATTCATTTAAATTCGCAGTTTCCTATCATGTGACAATTTCTTTAGTTTGATTTTATTCAAAAATGACACTATTTATCGATATTCAATAAGAGTACCTTTTTATGTAGAAAACCCTAAATTTTCAAATTCTAAAATTGAATTTTAAAAAATAGAATCACACAAAAATTTTGGGGCTAAAATAACCTGAGTACGTCCCTGTCACATACGCTTCCAAACAAAACTGTCTAAGCATAAAAAACTAGGCTAGAATACCAAATTTTATGTCTTTATCTCAACACGTTTCGGAAATATTAAGGAGAAACCATCTTCAGGGGAGCCCCTTTAAAAGACCGTAGCGCCCTTAGGGGACGTTTGTCGACCTATGTCTATATAAACGTTACTTCCTATTTTAAGCTCCAGAAACCGCTGGTGAATATTGCACACTTTTTTCGGGTATAAGCTTTCGCGCGATGTTACCCACCACGACGAAATGCTGTAATGTGCTTCCGTGGTGGGATGCATAACGAACGACTGAGGGGTTTTTGTGAGGATGCCGTCTTTTGAAAATATCACACCAGGTAGGAAAGACTGATATTACTTGCCAAAAGTCACTGCAGTAGCTTTCCCGTGTCTAATAAAATCCTAAGCCTAACCTACCTTGAACGAACTGTTGCGCCACTATTCGCTCTGCATTGTTCTGAACATTACGTTGCTCCACTGCACTGAGATATTGCATCCATTCAATTATCTGATAGCAAAAGTTTCGACATGCTATGTGTATTGTGAAAAAAAATTATCTAGTGGCAATGTAGTCTAGGAATGAACCAATACATTTTACATCCGAATATTAGTTAAGGGCTAAAAAGTCTCCGTCTACATATAGTGCCCAATCGGACTTTCAGTTTCGGTACATAATCCGAGTTGGTGTTTCGGCAGAAAATCCCTCGAAAGTACAACCAAGCCGAAACTACGTTCGTAAACTTTCTGGTGACTGCGGACGTGGTCGGACTGATATTTTGACGCTTGCATTGTTTCCTTATTTGTATTTTATTTAACTTTACCTGATTGTGTAAGTATTAGTACATATCAGACTTGGATCGAATACTGAAATCCAGTATGCGAATACGAATTCCGAATACTGTATTTTTAATTGTATTCCATTACTCAAGATTCGAATACAAAGAAAAGGTACGCAAATACTGCCGTTTTGATTACCTGGATTCATTTAAATATGAATACTGAATATTCTAACTAAAAAGACAAGTTATACAAATATATAAAAAAATAAAAACACATGATTATATTAAACAAAACTGTTTAACTTCACAGTGTCACAGTGAAGTTAAACAATTAAATGTATAATAAAAAAACATTCTTTGATGTTGACAGAAATCTACAGTGTACCTACATAATTAAAATATAAACATACCTTTCAATGTATTTACTTTAAATTATAACAGGTTAAAATTTATTATAAAATAGAATTGGCAATGCTATAGAAGCGCAAGAGCATTCGTAATCTAATCTCATTTCTTAAGTGACCTGTCGGGATCGCTAATTCAGAAGCCTCACCGTCCACACAAACAAAATAACTTTGCGCAGCTATTTTGTTTGTGTCATCCAAAACAATCGCCGAAGTGTTTTAACACGCTTAAGCTGCGTAAAGCGTAACGCAATATTCATAAGAATAGCCAAACAGTATTCGAAAACAGGATTCTAATACAGGGGATTTGAATACAAAGTGAATATTCGAATAGTGGGATTCAGAAACTGCATTCAGAATCCAGAATACCCAGCACAGACCAAAAAAGTATTCAGTCGAATACCAAATTCCAAACACACAAATTAATTCGAATAGTATTCGAATATCTGCATGTATTCTGAATAAATAATGAGTATTCTTGGACCTAAATTTTGAACCTTAATCATTTGAGCTGAAATTTTGTACACACGTTTGGTTCGGGTATCAATACAAAGTGAATTGGCCGCCATTTTGAATCCAATATGGTGGATGCTACAAAATGGCGATTCATGATTTCCACAGTAACCCCTATGATATGGGTATCAAATGAAAGCGCTTGGTAAGAGAAACGCAATAAGCAAAGTGCCGTCATTCTAAATTCAATATGGTGACCGCTCCAAGCTCCAAGATGGCGATTATAATTACCATAGTCACCCCATGCTATAGGTATCAAATTAAAGCGTTTTATGAGAGAAACACAACAAACAATGTGACGTTATTATACATCCAATATGTCGGTCAGCTTTATCCAGAGCGAAAAAAAAACAAGTTTTAAAATTTGTTTAAAAAAATGTTTTAAACCATTTTTGACACAATTCTGCGCCTGGCAAAACGCACATTAGTTGAAAGGGCCCTTTTTGAATAATATTATGCAAAAAATGAAATTAGTTCTTCCTTGCTCAATCTAAGCACATGCTGAATCGAATCTGTTTGATTTCCGTCTCTATAGTCGTTGGAGACAAATGGAACAACTATGTTGTGCACAATCACAGAATATACTGAATAATAATGATACTATGTATAGATAAATGTCGCCCACTATCAATAAAAGGACGACCTTCCCCAACCAGCCGGAATACAAGGTGTTCTCAAAACTACCAGCAATGGCAATCTAAGCACACCTGCTGTATTGTGACATTAGAGTTTCCACGACATTCTTCTTTGTGACTTCCACCTCATTCTAGATATCCTGATCCACTTGCGAGAAGCATGTGCGTGGAGGCGGAGCCAAGACGATGATAGAGGGCGGAGCTCACAGCAACGGCCCCGCCCATTTAGGCGCATCTTCATTCAGCGTAGGCAAACACGCCCTTGGCTGGATACTTGGACACGCAGACGTGTGGTAAGAATACATTTCGAATTAAAAATATTTTCAACTTAATCTAAGGAGCACATGTGAAGAAAGGGCCAGGTTTGAAAAACATCCAATCCTGCCAAAATAAGGACAAATTTGCGACAAAATACTCCAATAAATTTATCACAGTCTGTCAAATGTATAGCTCTATCTTCAGGCATTGGACTCGGACCGAATACCCGGTATCTCGACCTTTTTAAAACAGTAGTACTGGGGGCCTCCCTATAAAAAATCCTATCCGATTGTTGCAGGTACCATTTGTACAAGTGCACCGCCTACGTAAGAGGATATGAGCGAGGTGCCTAGCGACACAGGAACCCTCAGCGCTCTGGAGAACTTTCTGATTCTGGAGAAGACCTACTAGAGACCATAAAATGATAAAGTAAAACCTAAATGTTAACGTTCATCTACGGAAACGTGTACATTTTTTCACGTATTTACGAAAACATCTTAAACATGAACAACGGATATACCACCGAACTTTGCTAAAAAAACCTATCCGATTGTTGCAGGTACCTCCTGTTCAAGTTCACCGCCTACGTCGGGCGGTATGGGGGCGGTGCCTCACGCTCAGGCTCCGCCCCCTCGCCGGTCACCAGCACTCTCAGCGTTCTGGAGAACTTGCTGATGCTGGAGGAGGACCACTCGGGAGTAGCCGAGGATCAAGAAGCGGAGAATTTAGAGAATCTTGAGGAGGAAGAGGAGGACGGTGAAAGACACATGCAGCAGATTAGGAGGATAGCGACCAGAAACAGGGGTGAGCAGTGTTACGATCCTATCAATTTTACGGAATTTCTACCAAAATAAAACCTTCTTTACAAAAATATTGCAAATGTCACGATTTCTTCAAACTCCAGATATTTCTAAATTTCTACAGAAAAAAAAATTGGAACCAAAAGGTTGTATTCCCTATACCAATCATACAAATGCGTACACTTAGGCACCGAGGTACACGAGGGCCTACATTTGGACTGGCTATAATTATGTATGTGTGCAGTCTATGAAAACCAAAAAATCCCTAATTTTGGCCTGAAAAACAAGGCTGACATCGCGTTAAAATAAACTAATCTCAAAATACTATTCAAGGTCTTGAAGAGCAAGATTTTAACTTTAATTCAGATACACACCACCTCAAAAATTAAAATTTCTAACCGAGTTTTTCAGAATATATATACCCGCACGGCAACCCAGATCAAATTTGTCAATTTTTTAAAATAAATCACAATATTATTTGCCCAGCCAAATGTTTTTCATGTTTTTTTGGATAATTCCGAAGAGCATAAGCTTCTATTAACTTTTCTCTAAATCTGACCATTTTTGAGTTATAAACAATTTAATGTCTGAAATGCCTTAAAAATGGGTATATTCAATGCTTGAAAACCGTTTAAGCATCATAATTTTTGAGGTCACCAAGTATCTAAATTAAAGCTTAAGCCTTGCTTTAGAATATCCTGAAGATTATTTTGAGATTACTTTATTTTGAACCGATTGTTAACCATGTCTGATAGGTCAAAATTGATGAACTTTTGGTTTTTGCAGAACCATTGGGAGCTGAGTAGGCCGATGTGTCGAGCAGCTGATACACACATTTTTTATTGTGTAACCTAATTGTTGTTTGAATGTGTCACAGTGACAGTAACGAAAATCCTATTATCGCAATCCTCCGTCTAAAACATAACGGTTCGTAATTTGGAAGGCGACCTTCCCGCAATCCTGAGTGTGCATTCCAAGCTTAAGATTACATATAATACAAAAGTACTGATTTATCTGAAACCTATTCGAACTAAAGTTGTCATTTCGTTATCCTCGGTTTTCTCCTTCAACGTAACTTTAAACTTGTGTAGAAACTGCGTCGGGTTTGTTGTGTAGACTGGCCTTAAGCGAATTGATCTCGCTACACGCATATAATGTAGGCAAGCAACCAGTATTACACAGCGACAGTTCAAATCATTGACGGAGTGTAACATACGTGCGCGGCGTTGCCAGACTTTTCAAATGTTCCACTTAAATATCTTGCATACTTCCTGAATTATAACCATGATAATCTGTGGCGAATTAGCCATCTAGCAAGAGTAGCAAAATAGTATCAGGTTCGATGTTGTTTGAAATTTGATGACAATGTGGGTGACTGAGATGTTGTTTCTCGGAATTCCATTGTCTATAAAGTTTTTCTTTGATTCACGACGTATCGATTGATTTGATCTTCAATCGTCATATCAGTTCAGTTGATGTACACAAAACGTCAATCAATTTAGGTATGAGCATAAAAATATTTTATTATTACCTACTTAAATCAATACAATACTTCCCACGAAAGAATGTACAAGGCTAATTTAAAATGTTAGATAAAGTACTTAAAAAAATCCTATTTTGTTAATATTGCTAGGTGATCAGCCCTAACTGATGCTCCGAAGGTACTTTTAGGTGGTACTACTATCAAGAAATTTTAGACAGATAGCATAGATCTAAAGGTAGGCATGGAAGCGTATTATCAAATAACTGACTTTTTTTAATATTCCGGAACAAAGTATTCTAAAGTATAGTTCTTTTCACGGGTTCTGCCATTTACGTCACAATATTCGCCGAAATAAGTAAACAGATTGACTGACCATATGCGGAGCATAACTTAAGTGAAATTTCACACTGCCTACTCGTTCTTCAACACAAACATGATTTGGGTGATACAGGGCAGAGGTCATTCGCTTAGTGAAAATATTCCAATAAATGTAACACATACTCTCGACATGTAGTTGTATCTTCAGGGATAGCTATGTTTTAGACCAAAGGTCCCCTGCTATAAGAAACCCCTTACAAATCATATGGCAAATGCAAAAATACAACTGCCAGACAGACCCGCCTGACTTTGGCCTTCCGTCCTAAGCGTGTCGAACTTCCTACATCCAGAACTGGCCGATACGACCGCTCCTTTGTCCCGAGGATGTCGAGATTGTGGAACAATCTACAGGGCAGATGCTCCCCTTGACCCCCCTCCAATGGGCGCCCATGTTATGTAGGTTTGTTATGACATTTTGTCATTTTCGTACAAGACGGCAACTTGGAAGTACCTGTCTTTCATTTCATACTCAATTGTAGCAAACGCGGAAAGAACTAATTGCACACTAGCCTACTTAGTCAACAAGTTGACATTTTATCGGTTTTTATTTTTTGACATTAACCCTTGCCTCCGAAATTTTTTTGCGGAGATTCAATGTGCTCAATCCGGCAACGCCGCTCGCCGAATTCGATATTCGATCGGTGACGCAAAAATGGCGGACGCGCGTGTGTGAACGCCACAGCGATCGCGTTGGCGATAAACTTTCACGCAAATGTAAAAAATCCGACGTTGATCCACCATGGCCATGTCCAATTTGTACTCCAAGATCACCACGAAGCCGGTAAAAAGAACACAGGACTCAAACATGGCCACCGTGACACAGACCAACGCTTGGATGAACGGTAAGTTGTTCATCTCCCCTCCGTTTTGAGTCATACCAAAATAACCCTGGCCGGCCGTAAAATCAAAATAAAAACATCTCTATGCACTCGTCTCTGATCTACATATTTATACAGATATGAGCTTGGTTTTTGTAAGCGTAAAATCCATAAAAAAAGATTTCCTGAAGCCCAAATGGCATCATCATGGTAATATATTTTTTAATGTCTAATTACTTAAAAATCTAACGATTTGCATGAATTTGAAATGCAAAATGCCAAAGATTTCAATACAATAGCGTCTAACCGAACTAACAAAAGAAACAAAATTTTATTATGTCCAGTAATTTAGGAGCAATGTACTGTTTGGGAGCTGTCAGTCAGCTGATGTATTGATTAGTTTTTACGAGAGTACGTTACGAGGGTAATCCGAAAAATACTAAGCATAGAGTATTACCCTCCTATAAAAAACTCAACATCCTTTCCGGCACCTGTATTACGTAACTTAAAAAGTGAAATTATATTGATTTTTATGACAATGTTTTTTTACTGTATGTAGCTTTTACTATAAAATGTCACCTTTGAACTAGCTGACATTCACTTCATGCTCAGTTGCAGCTACCTAGTACACAAATTATTTTTTTACCTATTTTTTGACATTATATAGGGTTTTTTACATAATAACCCTGCATTTGAAAAATAGTCAAAATACTCCATTACTATACTGTATTTTTCGTAATTTCAAACCACAATATAATGCCTTATATTTATACGCTTTTGCCATTTAATAAAAACTATTTTTGTGTTATTTAAACACGATGTTTTAACTCAAATACGACAATTTATTAACGTTTTTTGTTCAAAATAGATCAGAGAAAATATTTAGTCTACAGCAAAAAGCTTAAAAAATTGACCACTTTTTATGTAGGTGACATAATACTCACCAGTGTTGCCGAATATACCGATTTTTCGGTATTTCTACCGAAATGGGACGTTATTTACCGAAATACCGAAAACGTCCTCATTTTACACAATTTTTTAAAATAATCCACATATTTCCAGATTTTTACCGAAAAAGAGCTGGAACTAGAATAAAGCTAAAAAATGAATTATATGTAGTTTTTGCCGCATACCAATCACGTAAGCATACAGTTAGACAGTCAGGCACACAAGATATGTACATTTGGGTTGCCTAAAATTATACACGCACATCCCTTACTCGGCTTTCCATGTATTGCTTTTTGTACAAAAAACAGGCGCAGACTGGTAGATAACCGTCATTGCCGCATCACTGGAAAAGCAATAAGGAAACCAAAGATTGTTTGTTTTTAATTATTAATAGATGCTAATGCCAGGTGATGAAGCTTCTAGTTCAGGGATAAAATAGAAAAATACACATAATTTTATAATCTAGAATGGATAAAGGAGTTTGGAGGCGACCAGCATGCTCCTTGTATAAGTTGTAACGAAGAAGTCAATATTTTTCCGAAAAAAGATGGCCACAAAAAAACCTGTGTAGTGTGTGGGCGCGCTAAACCAAAAATATACTTTTTTATAAACGGCGCTGCGTGACGCAAAGGCCCTTTAACCACAGGTGATCTTTCAACGGCAATGACTCTTTTCTCCTGCCAATTTTGTCCTTGAATCTGCCGAATTTTAACCGATTTTGTCTTTTTCGGTTCGGCAACACTGATCCTCAAAATTTCAGTGAAGATCGTCATAAAAAGATATAAATGCAAATATGTGTCCAATGGCATTATCGTTTTCCCGTTATCTACGCTAAAAACAGGAACGCATGTCTGCATTATTAGAGCGGTTACTATGGACGTTGAATAAAGAAAACGGTGACGCTGTGCCTAAGAACTATGGCCGCGGCATTAAGCTGCTCCTCGTGCACGATCGTTTCATCATGCCAATTTTGACGCAGTAACAACCAAAAAGTATTCACGAATGTAGAGACTTGAATCGTTTGAAACTATGTAGAGTGTCTGACTCTGAATATTCTAACCAATACACTAGCGACAAGTACGGCGATCATGTCGCTATCGTACCGGTTTGTATTTTACACGATACGGGTGCCGCAGGGTTATTACGAAAAAAAACTACCTATATAATGTCAAAAAAATCGGTGAAATGTCAACTTGTGCTCTAGATAGCCACTACTTAATTTCATGCCTACAAGTGGCCTGTAGTGAACGTCAGCTAGTTTAAAGGTGACATTTTATAGGAAAACCTACATAATGTCATGAAAAATCGATATAATGTCACTATTTAATTTATGTAATGCGGGTTTCGGAGGTGTTGGCACGATTGTCAGTCCTAATTGTAGTCAAGTATGCATAGTCAAGATACCTCCTAAGGAATAAAAAATTGCATCCTAGTAGTGGTTCGGATAAAAATTGAGTTCCATTGTAAATTTCATGGGTATCCACAGCTGTCACCAAGAATAATTTTCTGATTGATACAACTACTTCATCTAAGTGAGGCCACAAAATCATGACGTATAATTTAAAGAATACTGATTGACCCATACAAAGTATAGAGGCAACGCCCGCTCTTAGGAATGCTTTATGGGGGGTTAAGAAGCTCATGGAATATTCAACTGAATATTCTAAATGAGTCGTGAATTGTTTAACAAACCATACCTGGAAGACGGGCGCTAATGAGACGCTAAAAACACGCAACGGTCTCAGCTTTCTATAACATGCCAGCAACGCGACGCTAAGTGGTCAGGTAAATCATCAACCACAACAGCTTTAGCAGCCGGAAGAGCCGTTCTTAGTCTTGTCTCTTGATTTCCAAACTATAATATCTCAAATTTTTCTAGCCCATGATGTTTGACAATTCCAACACTCTATTGTGGACTCCCATCGATATAAAGATACTAATTATTATTAAGAAAATAGGCGGAAAAATTGTATTATATTGTTTGTTCCAGCCGAAACTTTGCCGAACGCTGGCTCCCTCTCCCTGTCCCCGCCTCCGCAACCACCCCCGCAACTCTCACTTTCCCCTCATCAGAATCAACCTGGTCACAACCAGCACCACCAAATCGGCGTCAGCAGCGGAGGGAGCAGCACCGTCCAGGTGGTGCAACCTGCCAGCGCCCCTGGATCACCACCGCCGCCCCCGGTGCCCCTGACGGTCTTGGGCAGCCCCTTGTGCAGCAACGGGGGCAGGATCTCGCCCGCTACGCAGGGCGATCCCACGGCTACGTTGGATCCCAATTGGCAGGCCACCAAGTCGACGGTGAGGGAGAGGAATGCTGCGATGTTCAATAACGATCTCATGGCTGATATTAGGTGAGCTGTCTGAATAAAATGGGAAAAATACGAGGCATATTCAAAATATCGAATCGCAACGCTATTGGCGTGACGTCACATCAATCCTTTGTCGCTGTCATTGATTGTCAACCTATCAGAGCTGCTTTCCAGTGACCCAATTGAGTTATTCTGAGAACGAACGCAGCCCTGTTTGATCAGTTACAAAGAGTACTGTTACTGGTTGACGCGGAATCCGCGACTGGACTACAATGTGTTACGCCCCTTTTTCAGCATAAATGTCGACACCATTTGATAGCGGACATGCTGTCACCGGTCAATGTGCGAGGGCGGTCCAATAAGTACCCGTGATGGATCTTGACTGTGTTTAAAATGAAATAAATAATATTAATAAAATAATAAGTAATTCCTACCACCAAAACACATTCTACTGCACTTACGTGGTCGAGGTGGTGCTCTTGTGACGACATACATAAGTCATCGAATACCGAATGATAGAACCAAAATCAGTATAAAGTCGACCTACTTCACTGAACGTGTATATATTCCAGATTTTTAGTCGGCACACCCGGGTCTACGCAACTGATTCCTGCTCACAAATACGTCCTGGCGACAGGAAGTTCAGTATTCTATGCCATGTTCTATGGTGGCCTGGCTGAATGCACAGAAGAAATCGAAGTACCTGACGTCGAGCCTTCTGCATTTCTTACATTACTCAAGTAAGTTCCTACCTCTTAGCTGTCTATATCACGTGACTCATCAGGCCACGTACTTCCACTTTCACGTCACTAGTGTAGCTTGAAACTGAAAGTCGAGTTTATTATGTTGCATTTACACATGTTTGCGAGTGTGCTTGGAAAAGCAATATCTCTGCTTTAGCCTGTCTTTATAATAAAAGTAACGGTAAACTTGTGAAATATAATTGATGCCAGATATTCGTTACTGTTATGCATCCAGTTTTTTTTATCACATAGGATAGTGCACATCTGTCAGCCGCCAGTAAAGTCCGCACAAACCTGTGAACGCTACGCATAAGCATATGCTGAAATATTCTTTGATTTGTGCTCAAAGATCGCACGCATGCCAAGCGAAAGGCTCTATACACACATATGAATTTTTGATGGCTTGCCAAAAGCATTGACTTGCCTCTACGACTTTTTATTATACATTGAAGAATCTCAAAACTGCGAGCGTGATTTTGGCGTTTCACCGGTTAATTCTAACAGTTTGTATTATAAATAAAAATATAGACTTCTTTATTTATCTACAATTACACTATAGTGTAGCCAAATGTCAGATTTATAATATGGCGAAGTTTAGGTTACTGTTACACTTAACCATACATTTGATAGCAAATGTTCACAACAATACAGTATTTACAGACGATTTTGGTTAGTTATATCGAAAGTAAAAAATGAAAAAGAAAAAGGTATGCTTTCCAAACCCAAGAACACCCTACAGGTAAAATTAACCTGACTAAAACAAGGGATGAAAAAATTACTATGTTACGTAAATTTTATGTTTGAGGAGTTAATATTGTTTTAACTTTTTGTCAAAGGTTTCAAAAATCCTTTATATACTTTAGGAAGGTCATTATAAATAATGGTAACATTGTAGGAAAAAGTACGTTTGAAAAGAGCAGATGTTGGCTAAGGTATTATTATTTTCTGTGAGAGTTCTGCAGTAAACATCATTATAAAATGATTTTTTGCACTCAAGTAAGAGGGATTTGACGTGAGTAGTAATTTGTGAACGAAAACTGAATAGTGATACTTGGCCAAGTCATTAATTTTTAACCAGTTTAGAACGGAATATTTCGGTGATTCATGTTCAAATTTACGTAAGTAAAATATGGAATGAATACAATTGTTTTGTATAGCTTGAATAACGTTTTTGGTGAAATTGTCTAAACAGGTGTAGTATATATACAATATTGCAATAATTTAGTATAGATATGACCAATGCTTCACATAGTTTCTTACGCGACTTAAAATTTAGTAAATACCTGTTTGCTATAAGGGTATGTAACCTTAGATAAGTTTTATGTGCCCATTTTATATAAAACACCAAGAATTTTTGCAGATTCATAAAATTTCAAGATTTGGTTATTTATCTGAATGTTCACGAGCTTTACATTGCCTTTTTACCTTTGAGCGCAAAATAATAATATCTTAGATTTTTATGGATCATTAAGTATATTCTGATCTAAAGAGTATGTGTTCTCTAATACATCCTGTTATTCCAAAAACGTACTGGCACAACAATTCTTCGTAAATACATATCCATGATTATTAGAGCAAAACTTGGACATGGAGCTTATCCAATACATCTAGCTAGATTCCATGTTATCAATTCCAACTTATGTGAACACTGTAACGTTGAGGGGAACTTGAATCATCTATTTTTTGGCTGTCTGAAGTTTTCACCATACTGTGATTGACTCTATCATAATCTGATTTACTTGGGCCTTATTACACCATTTAATGTTCTTCACATTCTATCCTTGAATAGACTTGATGTGACGTGCTTGATAATTGACTTTTTAACAACCTCTACGTTAATATTTTAGTTTGATTAGGTAGATATCCTCTGTAATTTACCTACCTAACCTTGGCCTAATTGTTGTGTGTCATATTCTGGAAATGCCTTAACGGGCCCTTAGGCGAGACGAGTGTATCCCTGTCTGACCCCATCGTTACTATAAGTTAGAGAAGTGATTGTTGTCAGCCACCTTAAGGCTTGTTTTGCAAACCGTGCTGTAGTCCATTGTATACAAATGATCCGGTTAATGGGACATAGTCCGTGCCATAAAAAAAATAATAAATGAGTACTTATTAATTTACTAACATCGTTTTGTAAAATGCTGGTTAAAATTAAAAAAACCTCTTTCCAGATACCTGTACTGCGACGAAATCCAATTAGAGGCAGACACGGTCCTGGCCACGTTGTACGTAGCCAAGAAGTACATCGTCCCTCACTTGGCGCGCGCATGCGTGCAATATCTAGAAACTAGTCTGACAGCCAAAAACGCCTGTTTATTGCTCAGCCAATCACGTCTGTTTGAGGAACCGGAACTGATGCAACGATGTTGGGAGGTCATCGATGCACAGGTGAGTGAAAATTTTGCTAACAGAAAGCGTTGCACGTATGGTTTATTTTTGAAGAATACTTACAATACAATTTGTTTATTTCACCTCCGTAACTGTAGCCATTATGGTGACAACACATGCTCCTTTGCTGATTGAGAGGTTCCAAGTGTATGAAATCGCGAATTGGCGACGCCAGTTATTTCAATTTAAGGCCAGACTGTCTAGATAATTTTCCGAGACATTATTTTATTATCGACTCCAGAAAAATTAAGGTGGACGTAGATATTTCCGATACTTGCACTTTTTATCGTTAGATGATACCACCAATAAAACCTGTCGTCTCGCGGCTGTTTTTTCTTTTTCTCGCTTTAGTACCTACACGTACGAAGTAGAAAATGTTAAAATTATCGTTTTTTTAATGTCAGTGAGAATTCGATTTTCGATATTTATTTATCAATGCCAAGAACAAGGCAGAATCATCAGATTCCACACTGCCATTTTAACATCAGAGTGTTAGCGTGTTGTATCTATGTAGAAATTACATCAGCAGCAGTATCACCAATACAAGAGAATTCTTCTATAAAAGCTATTTTTTACAATACACTATGTACTTTAATTACAACCTGCCGTTATCGGAAAATATCCTTTTAAAGGTCAGAATCTGTAAGTTATCACATAGCTATTTCACTTTCAGGAGCCTATGCGAAATATTACACGATTTTGTTTAATAACAAAAGAGAGATCATCAGTGTATTTGACATGGCTGCCAGGTATCTAGGCAGCCTGGCCTTACGCAGATTCGTAACGTATTCTTCATTGTCCATTTTTTTTGCAACTGGTTTGAAATATGTTATCATTCGTCAGGTAAGCCTGAGTTTGGCTCAACGTACATTGTCCTGTCTCGAATTAGGAGATGACACTAGCATCGAAAAAGATGTTCCAACACGACCGCCGCCAAAACGAAGACATTTCAGTTGCGGGGACCAAATGCGGTCAACCAAACATGATATTCCTTGATGCTAAAAATATTCATAATGTTCAAAAGTCACGGTACATTTGAATAATTTGATTGGTACCTAAGCTTTTTGAGCGTATTGTCTAAACAGAAACACAAAATACTGATAATTTTGGTTAATTTCGGTTTCCGAAAAATTGTAATAGTTCCTAGTTTTCAGTATTTCAGATAGATGGCGAAATGTGCCTTACTTGTCGACTGCACAGGTCTACAAAAAAATCTGACTCCGCAATCGGCATCGGTATTATGTAAAATGATTAGTATGATAGCGATCTGACAGTCATACTTGTCTAGCTAGCCCACACCACGCATGGCACAATCTGTGGTATAAAACTTACAGCTTAAGCGATAGAAGCTATGTTACATCACATCAGAGCCATAGCAGAGCTCAAGTATGTTGACGTTTAGGCAACACACATAGCTACTACACGTGAACATGAAGTGTCAATTTTAGCGATCAGGTCGCTATCCCTGACATTTTACAGTTACGTAATATGGGTGCGGATTCGTTATGATATTCCTGTGAAAAATTTTGTGAACCTGTGTTAATATTATTTTTACCATATCAAATTTATTTGATTCTAGTCACTATAATTTGGAAAATGCTCAAATCTACTTTGAATATTTTGGATGGCAATATGTCTGTCTTTTAAATGTGTATTATTCACTAGTAAGCATCTGGTATGCCTAAGTTTCGATAAAACAGATGAAGACTGAACAGAATGTCAAACTGTATTGAGATACAGTGTTTGCAATCATTCCTTGACTCCAAAAACACGTTCGCTTAAAATTCGTTAAATATGATTTTATTATTCCATTTTTGTCGAAGATTTAAATAATCTGTTGTTAATATAAGCTCAAAGCTGTGGAATATAGAGCACCAGAGGAAAGATTTCTCGTGTGCCATTGTCATTTTTTACAGTAAACAAATTTACTAATTTGTTTGTGGAAATCTTATTGTAATTAACGCATCGTTTGTAAGGATCAAGCTATTAAAATTGAGCAGAAAATATTTTCCTCTATATGGTGTCTTTTCGGAGGATAAAGGTATGGATAAACTATGTGTACAGTATTAATGCTTCTTCCATTATGTTTTTAAATCCACATATTTTCAGAATCGCATTGATGTGTTTTATGTTTAAATATGTTTAAATGTACACTTTGTAATACTGTCTGTGAATATATGGATTATAAAAACATACTGGCGTTCGTGTATTATTGACATCATTCCAACCTTTATCCTATCATCCTAATTTAAATACAATACCGTCAAACTGCCGGTTAACCGTTAGAATCGTATTTGAGGAAAAGTTGTTTTGCATATTTGTCCTTTCTGGCAAGTTCATTGTTAATGTTGTCCATATTCATCACGAGTACCGTTTTTCGCGAAGGTCAAAAAATCTTTGATTCCGTTTTCTTTTCAAGTACGTAGTTTATTTCAGGAAGGCATTGATTAAAAAGGATTTACTGCCAGTTTCTGGAAATGCTCCGATTTCACAATAACTTGTAACTCTCATGGGAGTGATGTGAGTGGAAATTGGAAAATGTGTACAAACAAAACGGCTAGTCAAGAGAAAAAACGGATTCAAACGCGGGCGCATTTATCTTGTAAATAATGGATAATTCAGTCAGAGGTACATTTTCAAAAGCATGGAAATTAAAAACCAACTGAATAGGGTAGTGTTTATTATCAATTTGATTGTATACACAGTATACCTTACGGATAATGTGCATACACACGCAATAGCCTGCTTTAAGCGAAGGCGAATATTTAATTTCAATAATTTACGGAACGGTTACGGAATGTATAGTGAGAATCAACCTTAATACTGATTCCTCTGGATCCCAAATTGTGTGGTGTGAAATCACACAATCTAGAAACCAATTTATCAGTTCATGACTCCCCCCTCAGTATCGGCTCGGGTATTACGTATCTGCTAAATGACATTATGTCGATATTTTTTTTTATAGGTTTTTTGTGGCATAACGTAAATTTTTCTACAAGATGTCTACTTAGCACAAGCTGATGTACACTTGTGAACTCGTTTTGTCTGTCTCGTGTTGCCTAAACGTCAGCGAACAACGAGCAAACGTGGAATGAACTATTTGCACACTAAAAACTACCTAGTCTGCAAGATAACATTTTGTCGTTTTTTTTTTTCTTTTGGCGTTTTTTAGGTGTTTTACATAATACCCCTGCCGGTCGTACCTTAAGATCCTCATATTTAGCACGATTTTCTTTTTAATTTTGTACCCTTATAGGATTCGAGTGTCATCCTGGCGCGATAACGGTCTCCAAATACCACTTCAAATGATCAAATGCTTCATCGGAAATTTTCATTTAAAAATATACTAAGTGACATATAAATCCGAACACCCAGTTTAAATGGTTTTATTTTAATAAAAGTTGGTGAATGTATTTATCTTACTGTAAATAACAAGTAAAAAAATTTTCAGCCTTATCAGTTGGACATTCCGGTTTTTATACTGCTTTTTTTTTAATTCACTAACGCTCTAAAAATGAATATTTCAGCCGCAGTAAAGAATCAACGTTGGCGGATTTTGGTTCTTGACATCCTTAACGATCGGTTACGATGCCTAGAGTACGGAGACCTGTACGATTTCGTCAACTTAGTGAGTTTGATAGGGGCCGTATAGTGGGACTTCGGGAAGCTGGACTTTCTTTTCGGGCAATTGCAGTTAGAGTGCAAAGAAGTGTAGACACTGTGGTTAGGTGTTGTCAGGCATGGCTTCGAGAAGGCCGTACGCAAAGAGCAGGGGGCACTGGACGCCGCCGTAGAACAACAGACCGTGAAGATCGCCGCCTAAGAAAGACATGTTCATCACACTGTTGGAGTTATGGTGTGGGATGCTATAGCTTCTTATGGTTCCAGGTCACCTTTAATCTTCATCAGAGGTAACATGAACGCGCAGCGTTATATCCACGAAGTTCTAGAACCCCATCTTTTACCCTATCTTGACACCCTGGCAGATCCAACTTTCCAACAAGATAATGCCCGACCACATGTTGCAAGAGTCACAATAGACTTCTTTCAACATAATGATGTCACATTGTTACCATGGCCACCAAGATCTCCCGACTTATCCCCAATTGAGCACGTGTGGGATATGATGGGTAGGAGATTGCTCAATTTGCAACGTCCTCCTCAGACTCTAGAAGCACTTCGAGAGGAGTTGGTGGTTGCCTCGAATGAGATACCACAGGAGGACATTGACCACCTGATCAGAAGCATGCCTAGGCGCGTTGGAGAATGCGTAGCACATCAGGGTGCATCCGCACATTATTAAAGGTCAAAGAGCTTTAAAGTAGTGCAATCATTTTGAAATTTTTATCATTTACTTAACATATTATGCTTCATTAAGTACGTATACAAAATTTTATTAAAATAAAACCATTTAAACTGGGTGTTTGTAACAAGTGCTCCGAGTACGGTTTCCCATTCAAACCAGTTTCTTCTTACGTCGTCCATTCATGCCAGTTGCTCGAGGCCATGACGGGGTAATCAAACATAAGATCTGGGATTTTTTGCCGGTGTATCCTCCTTTGTCGGGATTGGAGGGATACTAGAAAAAAACTGATTAGGACAACGAGTTCCAGACTTTTTTTATGATTCTTGGTGGTAGTCTCTGACGAAAGTTGATCAATTTGTACGCAGGCTGAGATGGCTGTGAAATCTGAAGGATTCGTGGACATTGATACTTCCACACTGCAGTCAGTGCTAGCAAGGGAAACTCTCAATTGTAAGGAAATGACGCTTCTGGAAGCCGCTCTAAACTGGGCCGCGGCAGAATGTACACGGAGGGAAATTGAACCTACACCACAAAACAAAAGGTAGGAGAATATTTCAACTCAAATCTGCTTTCGGCTGTTATCACGTTTTGCCGTGGTAAAGAATCGTGAAAATGTTATTTCTTACCTATTACGTAACAGCATAATGAATCTAACATTTTTCATATACAGGGATGTACTTGGTGACGCTCTGTACCTGGTCCGTATTCCAACGATGAGTTTGGAAGAATTCGCCAATGGCGCTGCACAAATGGGAGTACTAACACAACAGGAGACCATAGATATATTCTTCCATTTTACCGCAAATAACAAACCCAAGCTGCAGTACCCTATCAAACCTAGAGCCGGACTAAAATCACAGGTCAGTTCATATACATTACGCATTGTGCCTTTAACCAAGTTGACAAACAAGAAATTCATATTTCTAACTTAAACATCACAGCGAGGGGTAAGTGACAACTTCACAAAATCACACATAGACGTGTTGCTTTACAGTGGTTCTGATGCTTGGGTGTCTTAAAAGTTGGAACTTTCTTTTTCAGAAACAACTATGCTTGAAATAACAAAGTTAATGTGTGTTGGAAGAGTAGCGAGAAATTAAAAAAAAAAAGTGTTCACGGTTCATTTGCAGAGAAATGTCAAATACTCTCTTACTTATAACAAGTACTGTTCGTTACGCCAGAGGATTCAAAAACACAATGGAGTCTCTTCCCCGAATGAATGTAGCAGCTTGATCAATTCTCATACATAGTTCGTCAACCGTGTTCACCTCGGTTTTGTACGTTAAGCGCTTCATTTAGTCCCTAAGAAAGAAATCACGAGGTGTTATATCTGGAAATCGCCGAGGCCTATTTTCTGCAAACCGATTGGTAATAGTGTAAATGTGCCTTCGCACTTTTGATCTGGTCGAGATACAGGATAGGATTAAGTTTGGTTTAAGTTTGCTTGATTTTACGGAGCCTAATATCTTATATTTAGTATTTATACTACTAGGAAAAAGATCTATACGCCTTGTAAAGGAAAGTCCCAACTGTGCGAACACCGTGTATAGTGTAAACGATGATGTCTTTTTCTGCAGGTGTGCCATCGATTCCAATCCTGCGCCTACCGTTCAAACCAATGGAGGTACAGAGGAAGATGCGACAGTATTCAGTTCAGTGTGGATAGAAGAATATTCGTCATGGGGTTCGGATTGTACGGATCGTCCAACGGAGCGTCTGATTACGCTGCTAAGATAGAACTAAAGAGGTTGGGACGAGTGTTGGCTGAAAACAACACGAATTTCTTCTCTGACGGATCTAGTAACACGTTCCACGTCTATTTTGATAATCCTATACAGGTATGTTCTATCTGGAATACAGATACAAGATACGAAACACATATTTTCATCTTGTATCTAAGATTCTATTTTAAAATTGTATTTGTACCATGCAATACTTAAATAATAAATATACCAGCTTTGAGAGCTCAAATGGTTAACCTACAATAAAAATATATTTTTGAATGATAACACCAGTTTAATGATAAGGCCTCATCCAAAAAATGAGTCATAAAATGTTTGAAGAACTGGTTCTACCTGTCTCAACTAAAACTTCAAAAATATGATATTTTGTCATAAAAGCTGTATGATCATGGGTTTCCAGTTCTGCCAAAGCCTGATATTAGTGCTCATGACACGTCCCCACAAACTGCTTGATCTACTTGCTTTTTTACTTCCTATGCCAGTGGTGAACGGGTGTTCAAATCGCGAAAACATTCGAAAATGAGATATGTTTTTTGGATGTTATACAACATGTACATTACGAAAAACAATATCACTCATTTCCGTCAGTCTGTCTGTCGGTTCGATTTTAATGAACCTTTCACACAAGATTACTACTAAGTAAAGAACGATGAAATCTTGTACTTTTTGAAAATCAGTCCAGCGACGGAGAAAACGGCAAAAGACGAAAAAATATGAATTGCTCAAACTTTGTTTTTTGATGTTTCAGATCATTTTCAGAAAAATGCTTACATGGGTTAAAAATTGGATCTTGGGGGTTGAGAGAGAGCATATGTCAATTTTTTGGTGCTATTAAGTTCCTACCCCGAAAATTATAAGCATCTATTGAACATACTTGTCCCACAAAAATTAAATTTTATATTTATTAAATTACAAATTGTACAAAATAAAGCTATGAGAATCATTTTAAATAAAAACAAATATGCTAGGATTAATAAGTCTATGTTAGAAGAACTACAATGGTTGATTGTAAAATATTTCATGTTTTCATTTTCATACTCAAGTTAAACAATCATTTACTACCACCACATTTAGAAAACTTCATAAAATGAAATAGTCATCATTAAACAGTATATTCATCTGCAAAATTGTAATAGTAGCATAACTAGTAACTCTATTTCAAAAGGGAGTACATATTTGAATTTAATAAGTTGAATAATGATATTAAACAGTGTTCGAAAATAAAAATGTTTAAGGTGGAATTAAAAATCACTTTATGAATACTCAAAATGCATAGTGATGTAATTTTAATAGAAAAGAATGTAAAATTACAGAAAATAAATTCAAAAAATATGTATATGAACGTCCGTCTGTCTACTTCGAATGCTGAGGGATAACTGAATGATATGCGTGCATTCGTGTATGCAACGCCGTGCTGGGTTGCCACGTTGTTGGGTGGTAGGTACTGTTGGTAGGGCTAGATCGCAATGTCAAATCTGTGGGGACTGTGGACTATGATCCGTTTAATTCCTTTGTTATACATGTTCGTAGCAACTTGGGGAATATAATCTTCTATGAATTGCATAGCGTAGGAAGTGCTACTGACGCCATTTTTCTGTTTTCAGATCGAACCGGAAAGTTTCTATACCGCGTCCGCCATCTTGGCCGGCGGCGAGTTGAGCTACTTCGGTCAAGAGGGGATGAGCGAAGTGACCGTCGGTCAAGTGACATTCCAGTTTCAATGTTCCTCGGAGAGCACCAACGGCACCGGAGTGCAAGGCGGGCAAATTCCGGAACTGATTTTTTACGGACCGTCCCATGAGGAACACTAACTCGGGAATTCGTTGACGTCTTACGCGATAGACCGGGTCACCCATTCATCCATCGGGAATTTGTTTTTATCAATGCAAAATAAGGAAAGTGTCTGCTAAACGCTTCGGTTACCCATCAAATCATACAATATTCTATTTTCGTGATAGGATGCATTGTATCTCTAGTGTCTTGTGGAGCCGTTGATGTAGAATATCTAGGGGATACGGCATAACGTTTTTAGTCACATTGAGAGGCTAATATTTTTATTGTACAAATCCCTCAAACTAGCAATTTAACCCGGTTTTTCTGAAATTTCCTTTCGTACACTATTTTGATAGTCCCTGCAGTATTTACCCCAATTACGATTTGCACTGATTCTAATAAGATATTTTTGAAGAACAACTCAAGCTACATCGCCAGCTTAAAAATAGCATAGCGCAAGTGACAGTGAAAGCTTGAATGGTATAAAGTAAAAATTGCTTGATGCAATGGTTTGATAAACATTTGAGCCAGACCCGTATCAAATGTCATCCTTGGCTCTGTCCACTGACGCTATTTTGCATAGACAAAAGAGATTCTATTAGCGACTCTCTAGATACTATCTCGATGAATGAAACCTGCTATCACCATCGCGAAATAATTACAGCTCGTTCTTATTATTTTGAGCTTTGGTATATTTATATATTTGCATCCGCGCATCCAAACCTTGATAATTACATAATTCCTATTTAAGGAACTCGGGAGTGTGAACTACTGTCTCTCTGTAAGTGTCAAATAAACGCAATGCCGAGGAAACCTTCAGGTTTCACTACAGCATAAGTAATAAGATTGAGTATAAAAACTGAGACCCCATACTCTTAAAATCAAGATGAAAGATTGCCAAAGTAGTTCAGCGGATTTCAAAGCTCCTTAAGAAACAACTATAAGAAAACTAAAGCTAATTCTCTTGTAGTAAAAGAACATGAGTGGTCAGTTTTCTAATATATATAAGGGGTGTTACAATTTTTTCGCAGATGCCTTATATTTGAGATGATTTAGTGAATTTTCTGCGTAATAATATATAATAGTCTATCGACTAAGACGTCAATAAGGGAATTAAAATATTTCTCACAAATAAATTTGGATGAGCAATGAATAATAAGGTAAAGAACTGATTGTACTCGTTTTTTTCATGGAACTATATTCGGGGATCTATGGAGAGATATTAAAAATTTGTGATTAAAACGAAGTTGACGTGTATATTTTTTTAACCTCTGCCAAAGTAAGACATCTTGAGGCACCCAGACCAATTTATAGTCAGTGGGTTTCAAGATGTGGAAAACATTATAATAACACGTAAGATGTATCTGCTATTTTATTTCTTAGCGTATTTAAATGTAGCCACTTTTACTTTTATAGTTTTGTTGTAAAAATAAGAAATGTACGATGCCAAATTTTTTTATTTTGTTTTTTTTTTTTGTAAATTGTCAGATTTACAGCACTCTCTTGACTTTACTTAAAGACTATGACATCATAACTCATTCCAAATATTTGTATGACTATTATTACTGAAACTAAACTTCATAATTAGTCTTTCTAAACTTTTAAACTGATGGTACATTATGGGGATTCAAAACAACTCCAACAATCAGTCAAAAATATTCTCTTGTAAATATGAATTAAATATATACTTGTTATCGAATAAATTATTATAGAGAACTCGACTAACAGTTGAAAACAGGGTTCTGCATTTATTCACTGTATGCATAAGTTGTCAATAGTTGTTATGAAGTAATAGTGTAAAGCATTATATCTGCTTTTATAGTGACTTTGTGATAAGCGAATCTTAATTTCATTAAAATACTATAGCTACATTAAAACTGAGTTATTTTTACCTTACTCCCTAACCCAAGCACTATACGTAGAATAGAGCTTGAAATCTTGAATTTTCGAGGTGTAACATATGAGCGTCATTTTATTTGAATTCGTTAAGGTTGGTCAGATTGTTTTCTTTCGATATGAAACTTACAGGGCGTTGATTTTAATAGAATAAAAAATAGTCCTATCATGAATCTCTAATTTTCCTACCAGTTTTAGATAGCAACAAGCACTTCTAATATTGTGCATTTTTTCATTGAAATCAAATGATTCTTGTCTAAAATATTAAATATTTTTGACCTGTCTTGAAAAATGACTGTCTATTCGTAAAAAATGGATTTAGAACTTTTTATTTCAAGACATTCACTCACCCGGATCAGCCTGCATGCGTATGATTCGCAGATAACTGTTTTATACTTTTATATACAGGGTGGTTCGAATTCGGATATCGGAAACTGTGAGAGATACAAAGTCGCTTAAATGGGGGCAACGTTGCGTATTTAGATAATCAATATCGCTTAGGAAGTTTCGAAATTCAAAGTACCTCCGGGAAGAGACGGAAAAAACTGAATTTTTCCAAAATCGTTTTAGTTTGTTCCTGCCTTTAGTCGGATTTCAAAATAAATTGCACATTAACATTTGCCACTTTTTCTCCTCTACAAGGAGGCATAATTGGAATTTCCATATGACGTTTCGGTTCTTGTCCTCCAGTATTGACTTTATTTTTTCTTATAGACGCCATATTGGATTTTTGCACAGATAATTAGTTTTTAATTTTAATTCCACAAATGTATAATACGTCATACATTGACTTTGCCTAAACTTGGATATTCCAGAAAAACAGACGTTCCTACAGTTTATTCAAAACAAAGCACTTACGTCATATTTAGTAAATTTGAATGGCAACCTTAAAGCAAAATAGATCCTAAATTGGTACGTATGGTTTGAATTTCTCGGATACAATTATTTTGGTAACAGTTTTCTGTGTTGTAACATTGTCGCAAAGCTTGTTAGGTAATTACGCCAACGGCTGTTGTTTATTTGTGGTTTATTTTCGTTCTTTTTGCATCAATATTTGCATTGTTATTTTATAAAAACTTTGAGATGTCTTTTTAAGCATTTTGCTAAAATGCCGAAACCTCTAGGTCTACAAGCAAAATAATTCGTCATTTTTTTGACGACATATTTTGAAACCGAACGAAAACATGGAGCTCCATTATTGCCTTTACAATCCGTAAGAGAAGTATTAGGTAGTAAATAGAAGTTATACTAGGAAAAGGCAACGGTCGTTTTCAAAACCTCGAAAAAAGAGTCCTAGTTAAACCGGGTACAATATATCCGCTAAGGCAGGTGTGGTGAACCTAAGAAGAAGCTGTGAAGAGAGAGGAGCTCCTCCAGACCAGGCGACAGGAACACCCAGGTACGTGCCAATCCTATATTGTCTTTGTATGGCTCGGGTGTCGATTACCTTATTGCCTTAATTATATCTGAACGCGCTTACAGTCCCGCAGCTCTCCACAATTTAGAATCATCTTTGCAATAACTTTTTTACAATACATACACTCCGTAATGTTGCTTGCGGTAAGGCATCGAAGACCATGTAGATTTTGTAAAACGTCCTAGGATCTAGTAGTTTTAATTAATGTGGCAACCATGTGCGTCACTGTCATTATTTGAAGTTGTAACGTAACTGCTTTAATTCAGTGAATAAATCTAGGCCTTGAAATTACCAGATTTCATTTGTTTCGTATATCAGACCAGACCTCAAACTGAACATAACAACTGACATCAGAAGACTGAAAAGAAGAGTAATAAATCGAGTGAACAATGTACAAAGAAGAGTCAGGGTTTGCCTAGAAAATACCGGTCAACATTTTATTATGTTATTACCATCAATAAAATTTCATTTTGTGTTCCGGTTTCACAAAACCTTTTTATTTCCTTATAATTTCCATCCAACCACAAATTCATGGTCATTCCAAGGGAATACATCACTGAATTTAGGACTTAAAAGTTCATTCGAATGTACAAAATTCCATTATAGCATCCATATGAAAAACAAAGTTGATGATGGAACTCAAAGAAAAAATGTCGAATTGAAAATTTGACTAGCCATCTTGTAGAGGAGAATAAGTAACAATGACAGCATGCAGTTTATTTTGAAATCCCATCTCAGATGAAGTCGGGACAAAATAAGTGGAGACAAAATAAGAGCGGATTTCGAAAATTTCTAAGCGTTGAATTAATGTGTGCTCCATGGTAGTGGACAACACAAGTGATGCATTGTGTGGCCATCTGTGATACAAGTGTTTTGGAGAGCAATAAGTTGGGTTGAGCGGGCCTATGGTTCAATATAGGGTTTAATAATTGAGCTGTCATCTAGCGGATTATAAGCCTTTTAGCAGCAAACCCTAATTTTCCTGAACTATTTCGGAACGCCATAGGCCAGGAAATTTGAACTTTTTCTTATCGAAAAATTCCAACGATTCCAGACCAGGTAAAATACGACAATCGAGGATTTGTCTCATAGTCCGTAATGAGGATCAAAGTGCTCTTGACAAAAGTCAGCACTTCTGTATTACATTCGTATATTAAGTGGTATTTTTTAAAAATCCGCGTGTTTGCAGATAATTATGGTATTAGACAATTTCAAAACATGGTACTTCTTACATAATTTGCAAAGAGCCGCGCAAGTCTAATGAAGTTAAATGTTTACACCGGTAAATATTATTATTACGTTGAAACTACGCTGTCACTTTGGTAGGCATTGGTAAACAAATAAGTCAAAAATATGCACTAAAAGTATGCAATTTGAGCAACAGACAATGCAATGTAAACATATAAGCTCGCAACCTAATATGTTCCAATCCATTGGTGTAGACACTGCAAGTGATACTGGGTATACTAATTTAAAAAAATAAAATGGCAGATTACAATAAACAATTTCAACTGTAAAATTCATACTTCACGGGCTACATCTTAAACAGCTTAATGAAATGAAGGTATTTTTGCCAAAAAAATACACGCTACTTGCTGAGAAACGGGTATCCTTTAGCGATTTACAAAATATTGTTACAATTGCGTCCATCCATCTCGTTAGTGAGTGAATAGTATTACTACTATACCTCAATGAATAAAATGCATGCTTGATAATTATAGATGCAGTACTTACCAACTGCAGGAATGTTGATGCAGAGAGCTTGAGATAACCGCAAGTATGTTCTTCCTAGTTCATAGCAGCAGATTTGGAGAACATCGCTGATATCTATCAGCAAATCTGTTGAAAAACTGTTAAGGAAAACAATTATATAAAACCAGAGTTATTTAAACAATTTGTTGATCAAAAAATATAGCAACAAGAGCTGAAAAGTAGACAGACAATTCACAAACAGTAGGCGTGGGAAGTAAAAAATCCATGTCACTTTTTGAATTATGAAATACGGGTTCCGGACAAGCAATTGGCAAGTTGTTTGAGTTAATAAGGTATTTGGTACATGTAATGCCACGATGTGAATGCAGTTCTCAATACGAATGCATAATTGCTATTAAAAACGTAACATTTTCATCGCTTGTATAACATATTAAGATAATAGTAGTAACGTCTGCTATCTACATCCTATCCACTGACAAATCTATAACATTTGACTGCTTTCAATGTCACAATAGTGTCAAACCGATCAGATGTAATAAAAAGCCACGCAAAAATGTCCTATGGTTCACAGGGACCCACACCAGCGGTATTCGGTAGACTTCTTTTGCGGTCTTAGTTCCGCCATAATCACTACATTGGTCACACATCCCGTCAACAAGTTGATCTACCGACAGATATTGGAAGGAGGCGCCTTGAAGGATTCCTTGGCCAGGCTGCGTTTAGAAGGGCTCAGGTACCTTTACCGAGGAGCCTTACCGCCTATGTTTCAAAAAGGCGTGTCTCTGTCCACCATGTTCGGGGTGTATAACGTAGCCATCGTGCCGATGAAGGAGCTCCATGTAAGGTTTGTTACCTACAATATAAATAAACAATTTTGTAGTGATAATTGTACTGAAAAATTGGTCACAATTCAATGGTACATCCTCATGGTATTTATCTCCAAAGTAACACTGAGTATAGTAATATGAAGCCCATCTTGATCCACAGAGATTATCACACGTTGTATCGTAAATCGTAACCTTAAAGTCGAAACGTAAGGTCAATTAAAGGTCAAGTCGGCTTTTCCAAACCATCATTGCTGGTATTGTCGGGTGCCCAAATAGGTGTTTCGGAATTTAAAGGCGTCATTTATGAACGCCTCAGATATTTTATCATGAAAATGCGTCGTGTTTAACAACGGAGCTTTGCATAAAAATTGTGCGAAGGTACTAGAACAGTTCGCTCTCATTTTTTTTTACCACAATACAGGGTGTCCGCAAAGTTGGGGTTTTCCTTTACACGACGTGTAGATCTTGAAAACATAAGCAATTTTTCTTAGTACCATATACACCAATGTCTTAAGGGAACCGAGATACAGGGCTCTGCAACATCAAAAATATCTGAATAACGTCCTGTAGCCGCGACATCACCGACTGGTACAAGGTCACTGGCTCAACCCGACGACAGAACTGGGTCGGGGTCAGTATGCAACTTTCAACCGACGGTTACGGTCACGCGTGTAGAGGTAATCGCGTAGACGAGAATCCCTCAAGAAGCACTAGAGACGTGGCTAGAGAAGTGCAAGTATCAAAAACTAAAGTGTGGCAAACGCTGCGTGAAGAGGGGCTGTATCCGTTTCACGTCCAACGTGTACAAGCCCTTCAACCTGACGATTTTCCAGCAAGAGTGCGGTTTTGTGAGTGGTTGTTGCATCAACATGACAATAATCCGGACTTTTTGAAGTGCATATTGGTGACAGACGAATCTACGTTCACGCGTAATGGGGTGAATAACTTTCGCAACACTCATGTTTGGTCAGTAGAAAATCCGGCACGCTGTCCGTCGGGCACATTTTCAACAAACATTGTCGGT